CATTAATTTGGACACCAATATAGAAATCGGAATGAAAAAACACCGAAGAATCAACTTCGGGGGACCAAACTACAACAAGACCACCAGATGCATCAATAACATCAACAAAAAAAAGTGTGCGAAGACTCAAACCCTAATCCCCGCATAGGATGGGAAACTAATATCCGGCGAGCTCTTGTTTCTGAAAAGAAGACATGTGCCGGTTTATTCGAATGAACTAAACCCACACCAGTTTGGAATGTAAGGGATGGTCCAATTCCTCTTACATTCCAGGCCAGAAGCCTCATTTATCTCTCTTGGACCAATTTAGGCCAGTTTCCTCCACCGTAGCAGCAACATGCTTGTCCTCCACAAATTGTTTTTTCGGTGTAGGGGGGTCGCATGATTCCCCATCCACCACCTGGAATGGCCATTTTTCTCTCTGATTTTCGAGTTATCATAATGAGAGCCATACTCATTCAGATCTCTAAGTCCTCCATTCATCCTAGGGGATTGCTCCACCCCATGCCCAACAACTTCCATACATGGCTCCGCATTCTGCTGAGGAGTAGCTTGTGTAGTTTGAAAACTCATCCCAGCCTCGAATGCACGCACAACCTGCTGAACATGGACATTGTTAGCTCGTTGGGATCCGGTCTTACCAGCAGGCCTTTTACTTTTTATCTCGAAGCAATGTGCCTCTCCCTCCGGACTAGTCTCAGTCGACTCTGCCAGGCCATCACCTCCGGGCATCGAATTGAGGAAAGCTCTCACCGGGTGGGAGCGACATCCGTTACCTCACCCACTGGAAATTCCACCCATGTCCCATTATCATCAACCGAATCAGTTGTAGCATTCCCAATGTCACAACCATTAGTTTTCTTCTTGAGTTTCCCCTGCCTTTCTTGGATACCGCATCCCTCGAGGTAGCCCCTATCGCGGTTTCAGCTTGGAGGCTCGACGTAGAGCATCCTGGAGGGGTGGCTCACCCTCCTTGCTGTCAGCAAAGGGATCACTATTCCCTCGGCCAGGCTCAATCTACTCCTCAGCCACTACGCGCCCTATGCCATGTAGGGAAGCAAATGAAGGCGACATCTTATCCTCCGACTCAGCCTCCAACAGAAGCCTCCTCCTTCGAGTTTGCTCAACAATAGAAGGATGCGAAGTATACTGATCCTGGCCCGTGCTGGAATCTTCTCGAGGGAGGTTTATAGGTAGCATCCCCCGAGAGCTCTATCCTGCCCCCTGGTTGTCATCTGTAGCGCGACAAACAGGTCTTTTAACTCTAGCAGTAGAATTCTGAGGCTCCTGTGGGTCCATAGACGCACGAGCCGTACCATGCCTCTACTTTCCCTTGGGTCGACGATGCATGCTTTTTTCCATACACACCTTGCGCGAGCGTGAGATCTCTCGCAGTGGGAGAGAGAGAGATGCCTCCTCCATTACCACTGGTCGATGATGTTGATCATTTGAACCGAGACTTCCTCCATCCCTGCATCCTCCTCGATTCCTCCTCTCTGCGAACGAGATTGGGCGGGTTACGAGGCCCTTTGAGGTTATTATTGACCCACATGGTCTTCGGCAACCCTTGGAATGGAGGGTTATATCATCAGCATCATAGACCCTTGTTCCCAACTTCTTGGTCATCATATGCGGACCAAAACGTTCCTTGCGCGTTGGTGGGTCAAAAGCGCATTCATGTTGAAAATGCCTCACCCTTCCGCAGTGGAAACAAAAGGTGGGGAGGTGTTCACGTTTCAGCCTCACCCAAAAACACCCCGTCTCCTCACTGGTAGCCATCAATTGGGATCGCAGGGGATGAGAGAAATCAATCAGAGCTTTCACCTTGAGAAAGTATTTCCCTGTGTCTTGGCAAGAGTAAACTCCCGCTTCGAGAACATGGCCGATGGTGAGATCCCGCCACTTTCATGCCAAACTTCGCAGTGCAACAATCTTCATTCACGTCCCATAGTTGCACACGAAAAGGGGCCACAACTAGCTCCTCGAACGTGTACCTTGTGATAGTCGGTGTCCACATACAAAGGTGGAAAATTTTATTATTCACCACCTAGGGAGTTCTCTTAAGGATCCAAATTTTGGATTCTTCATTGGGGAGAACGAATTCAAATAAGCCATGCTTAGCCTGCAGAACTTTGATCCTTCCCTTGCATTGCCATGGTGAATTCACCGAATCTCTTAGTTCAGTGGGCGTGACACAAGCAGTAGTGAAGAGGCGTCCAAGCAATGTATGTGAACTACGGACTTTCACTGATTGGACTTCGTCTAGTGAAAATTGCACCACTTGATCTTCACTCACATGCCTAGACATATTGTCCTGCAAAGACCATTGGGATCCAAGGAAGGGAGATGAATATTCATTATCAATTCTCAGTCAAAAACTCGGCCCCAACCACATTGAGCCGCATCCGGGAAGGTCTGAACGAGGGCAAAGGAAGGTAGGGCCAGGGCTGTTATAGCATTGGAACGAAAGAACAGACGTACTTCAAGGGGTAAGGAGTTACCTGATTTGGGCTGTCCACCAAGGAAAGTTTCGGGTCTCTCTGACTCCCTGCTCCGCTCGCAATACTCAATTGGTAATGTCGAGTCGGCTAGGGTTGTATAAATAGAGCGGGGCCTTCAAACTATCCTCCCCATTTAGGTCTCCTTCCACCAGTTCTCCTTTTCGGATATGACACCGAGTGGTTGGACGAGGGATCAGCGGATTCGTATCCAAACCAACCAATGAAATATTAAGTATATTCAACTGTTCTATATTATTATAAGATTTTCTGTTGCAACAGTGGATATTATGGTAAGGGTTTCCACCTGTCCAGGCCGTAAAAATCGGCAACTGAACCCCCACAAATTTCCAAACCCTACTGTACCGCCGTGTCTGTTCCCGCCAGTCGGAGACGACACATTGACGCGGGAGGTTTTTCAGTTTTGATTACAGAGATGTTTGAATCATCACACCCTCTTCAGATGGCCAAGGACTTTGAATTTGACCTTTGTTCTTCCATGGGGGAGACAGTCTGCCTGAGAGGGTGGCTGTCGTGTTGGTGGGTTTCCTAGGATGATCAAATCCATTTCGGTACGTCAGATTAGGAGCACTATCCATACAATCCAGATCGTCCGATGAAGGGAGCTTGAAATGCCACACCTCCTTGAGCGAAACCCTACGACACTTGTTTGTTAAGGAGCAGTTTGTATCACACTCCACCAAGGTATTCACTAACTCGCATTTTCTGACCTTGTTCTGGGATCGGAGCTCTCCCCATGATTGTCGATTGGGATAAAAATTCCATCTCCAAGGCTTACATCGATGGGGGGAGGAGGTTGGGATCGTCCTCTGATCTGTAGACGAGCAATCTGCCTCCCACGCCTCCCGGCACGGGGGAGGGGTGCTTGTCCGAGTCCATTTGGAACTTGGGTACGCAGACTTGATGCGAGAGTCTCCGTCACCGCCGCGAGAAGAAGACGACCTAGGAAACGACAGAAGCAGAAGAGAGAGGCAAGAGCGTCTCTTCATATTTTGTTTTATTGTTGGATAAAAGAGGATATATGGTATGAAACTAATTATGTCTTAGTCATTACGGAAGACAACATGACTAACTCAATCCACAAAAAGTGTGAAAATTCTTGGGGAAAGGCAAAGTGATGATGAAGCATTGAGTTTGTTGTTGTGGACATGATGATGATGATACCTATAGTAATATGTAATAGTTAGTACCTACTTGTATTCAAAAGTACTACAACATCCATCTAAAGAATCTCGCCAGAGAGAAAACTTTTCCTTCTAATAGTTTTTCAGCAAAACACTCAATTGCCAATTTTTTTAAGTACTTCTAACATCTGTTATATTTGTTTCTAAAAAAACCTCCATAAAATTTTCAAACTCAAAGTTTAGACATTGGAATTCGAACAACACAACACATCCAATTAGATGTCTAGATCACATTCTCATAAATCTTTTTTTTTTCTTTACATTTGATAATCTTATATTGATAAAGTGATCGGACAAATTACAACCTGGTATGTAACTAGCAAAGGAAATCAAAAGAACGACACATAGTCAAATACAAAGCAATGGCCTTTCTAGCAACCAAATGGGCTACCCGATTGCTATTCCTACCTACAAATTGTACATTAAGACCATTCAAATTCTCCAGCAAAACATGAACCTCCGCAAGACTGGCTCCAAAATGATTATCTTGTGCATCAGTCAAATTTATCTTATTGATGACCACCTTCGCGTCTCCTTCAAACCGAACATGCGAGAGACCACAATCCAGACACTAGTGGATGGCCTCGCGCAGCACTAAAAGTTCAACTGTACGCGGTTCATTGATATCCTCAATATGAATTCCCCGAGCCAAGACAATCAAATCACTCTAATCCTTGATAATTATTTCCCCCGCCGAGTGAGAGCCCTTCCTTGTTGCACCATCCCACATGCAAGTTGCCAAGACCGGGGTTGATGCATTCACATTTGCAACCGACGGATTGGGGAATGAAGTCACTTTGTCCGCTGTTAAACCTATCTATTTTTGGACTTGTTGATGATACTGCCGCATCAAATATATAACACATAATTGTTTTCCCTTCAAATATAACCCAATTCCTGGATTTCCAAATCACTATAGGGCCACAACAATAGTAATATTATGGTGGGGTTGATTAAGCAGCAACATCAACTTTTTAAGAAAGATATAAAAGTTTTGGCGAGGGAGCCTTTAGCCTAGAGATTCTAGGCTAGTATGATCCAATATTGCCCTTGCCATCGAGCACTCCAAAAAAGATGATCCCAATCTACATTACAGTTACATACAAAGATTCACAACTATTTTCTGAAGAATATATAACAAAAACATGACAATTTTAATATTTTCAAACAAATATAAATTTCAAAATAAATGAATTAATATGTCACAAAAGAAAAATGATGGAAAAATGTGTTAAAAATTAAATCGTAGTGACTGATTTCTACCATCACCAAAGTTTAGTAACCATTATCGTAATTGAGCCAAGTTATAGCGAAGGGCCGAAGGCGGAAGTGAGTGCGGTCTGCGGCTTGCTTAGGGCTTGACTGAAACTCGACTGCCGAAAGGGAAATAACTCTGTAGTAGCGGAAAAGGAGAAACCAGCGATGGGGAGCGAGTCGAAATCCAGCGGCAACACCGCTCCGAATGGCGGTGGAGGAGGAGGGTTCAAGTCGAGGTTAGAACATGCCATGTACAGTGGGGACAAGAAGCATGTCTTGGCTGGGATAGCCGTAATATCAGTCATCTTCGGCATCCCTTGGTACCTCATGAACAGAGGTTTGATTCAATTCTATACGCTCTCTTCAGCTTATTCGTTTATTCGCCGCGAAGGTTCTAATTTGTAGCTGTTTATAGGATATGATAGTAGAATGAACTGGAAATTTGAGATGATAATGAAGCCTGTGTCTTGATTGTAGTTAGTGGGTACTTGCCGTTTTCTCAACTTGGGTAGAATGTTGGAGTTGTTCGTTTGACAGCAAGTTTCAAGCTTTCCAATTCATTTGGTGATAGGATCCTTAAGGTCAAAGAATAGTGTGTTGTGAATGTTCAAGAAAATTGGAATTCTGGGCTGGTTTTGGGTACTCGTTACTTTTTCGTAGGTGACGAACGCAGCAGATGTAAAAGCTTGAGTTGCTTTCGAGAGGTTCCAAGTTAGCTGAAGGGGCTGGTATATGAAGTTCTGGAACTCTGGTCCTGTCCTTTTTGTATAGTTTCACTAGTTCTGTGTGGATTATAGTAAGGTAAGGAAGCAGTATTTCTTGGCGAGTTAATTGGGGGAAAGCATAGGAATATTCGCCATATGGTCGCTTGTTGTTGCTTATTTGTTTTGGAGTATTGTATTCACCATATGCTCGTGAGAATGAACGTAATGCCCATATTTAGGCACGGGGTTCAGGATTCCCGCTAGATAAGTGGACGAAGGAAGTAGTATGTTGCCCGAGAAAAGTTCATATCTGATCTGTTGATGGTAATTCACAATTAGTGTGGGGAAAGCTATTTACTTATAATTTTGGTCAGTATAGATAAGGTAAAGGGTTCAATAATATGCCAATATCATGATGATAGAAGCTAAAGAGGGACTATGAGGGATAGGGCACAAAAGTTAGTAAAGTAGAAAAGATACTTCTTTGCTTTATAATTAAGTGGTGATTGAATCTTGATTACCTGGATATATGATGTTAAGTTTGATCTCCCAAGGTTCATGGAGTTTAGTGGTTAGAAAAATCAAGATTTTGCTAATGTAGATGTGCCAGTCATGGGAATCCCTTTTCTCAATATTTCTCACAATGCTCTGGTGCTGTCTTTTTATGTTGTGCTTCAATGTCACGAGTAATGATTCTGCATCGTTTTTATTTTGCTTGAACTTAACAAGGCATGGCATCTTATTTGATCAACTTCTGTACGAGTGAATTATGGGCCCTTGCAACATAAACTTTATAGGAACGGGTGGTGTGGCAGACATGGAATCTATTTCTTTATCTCCCTATGGCAGTTTGGTAGCCATTCAGAGCTTAACTCGATAGCTTTCTGTATGCTTTATCTGGCAAGTTGATCTCGTGTTTTACCAAACGTACATATACCTGATTATCAGAATGGATTTTTTTAATTTTATCTGAGCTATTGTACGGGGGACATCAGTAGTTCTATCAATCTGTTCCCTCAGCAATTTGGAGGAATACATTTGTTATTCTGGTAGATAATAGTTGTCTTGAAGATTCCAACTTGGCCACTTGGGCTTCAGTTTTGGGAGGGCTGTTGTCTTTTGAAGAGTACTTGAGAGATTCCTAGTTTCGCATTAGCTGTACCCTAACTTCTTGGGGTCTCTGTTTCAAAGAGTCATCCTGTCTTCATGATTGAGCACTTTAGGCATTTGGAGGGGGACACTTTTTCAGTACTTCATGCTGATTCTTGAACTAATCATAGGAATTTGGCTCCTTTGTGCATCTAGCTAGCTTGAGATTTGAACCTGGGATGTGATTCAGAAGGAAATGTGTTCTTAATTTTCGAATTGTTGATGGATAAATTAGTAATTCTTTCATGTTTCTTCATTCCAATTTGGTGTAAACTTCAATCAAATGATCTCATTTCTAGTTGTTTACAGGATTCAATTCTGAACTCTGAATGACCAATAATGTTATGGCAGCTGCATAAGTCTCTAGTGAAAACTAGTATTTCTTTATTACTCTCTATCTACTCTCATAGTTGATTGACTATTTGATTTAGCGTTTTTGGTACATTCTAATCTTGGTTCTATTCTTTCCGTTTTATCGTCGAACGTGTCCTAGAAGGGACTAGCTTGTAGTTTGTTGCCAATCTGCTACTCTTCTTCCTTCACCATTAGTAATTTAGGAATTTTGGCTGCTATTATCTGTGAGTTACCCAGCGTTGTAATCTTTTTGTGCAGGATCAAAGCATCAGTCGCATCAAGATTACATGGACAAGGCTGATAGGGCACGGAAGGCAAGACTTTCTTCTGGTTCTTCAGCTAGCTAATCTCAGCAAACCTCAAAAACCCTTTTCATAGGTATAAAGACGTGTTGTTTGCATAGTACAATAGCTAAGTCATTTTTTTTTAGCAAAAGGAAAGACAGCTATTAGTCGAGATTTCTTGTCTGTGGCTACCTCAGTTATTTTGTTTTCAGCTGGCTGTTAGCAGGTCAGGGAATAAAGCATACATTATTTTGTTTTAGTGTTAAATCAAAATGAAGATTCATGTTTTGATGGCCTGGGGCACAGTGTATATGGATGATTCTTATCTGTGTAACCATCAGTTGAGAAGTTCGTCCAAGTTCGAATAATATGATTGCAGTCTTGGCCATATCGTTTTACGAACGAACAGTTCTTGTCCCGCCGGAAGACCAGCAATCACTGTGCATGTCGAGCAATGTTCATCTTGTAAGCACCGGTGAATCGTTGATTGTGGATGGTTTTATGAGCATGTATGATGCATTATGGAATCGACTGCACATGATGATCTGGAGAAGATTTGGCCAGAATGCTTGTTGGTTCATCTTGCTCTTCGAGCTGGAGTAACTGAAATGATACGTTGTAGGAGACATTCTAACTTTATCCTAGTGTAACTCTGAAAGCTAGCCTCGAAAATTCGAACTACTTTGGCGCGCGACTTGCATTTGAACTTCGAAAATTAGATTCATTTGGCGAGATCCAAATCAAATTTGAAATGCTGATAGTGAGATTAGAATAAGAAAGGGCACTGGAAACTGAAAAGCCATCAAAATTCAAATGACAAAGGATCAAAGGAAGCAAAAGGGAGGGCATACTGGTAATTTCGGAACAAGCCTTCTTCCCCGTCTCTGAATCGTTTAAACGTCGCCGTCAGCTGTTCTCACTTCGTCGGGGGAAGTGGTTGTCGCGCGCTTAGCCGCAGAAAGGAGGAGAGCGGAGAAACCAGTTTAACCGAGAGAGACTGACACAGTCACAGATCCAGAGAGGGAGTGAGAGAGATTCAGGAAGCAAGAGAAGTTATGAAACCCTAGATTCTCTCTGTGCTTGTGGTTTTTGAAAATGGTGGGAACGTCACTGGCTGGAGTGCAAGATCACTTGAAATTGGCAAGGGAGTACGCTCTTGAAGGTCTCTACGACACTGCGGTTATTTTCTTCGATGGCGCCATTGCTCAGATCAACAAGTAACTCTTCTTCTTCTTCTTCTCCGTATCTCTGTCTTCATTTGACAGTGTTTTCACTGCAATGCTAAATCTGTATCAGATTTGACAGCTTTCAAGGTTCATTTTTTACTTCTCTTCTGGTTAATTAGTTGGTTTGATCGAGAATTGAAGCTGGATTGATACATTTCGAGCTGGAATTTGTGTCTGGAATCCGTATTTGTGTTCACATTGCTTTCAGTGAGAATGCTTATTCGAATGTGATGATTAGACTCGCTCATTGAATTTGATTTGGAGCTTGTTATCAATGCCCACGTTTCAGGCACCTAAACACACTTGATGACCCATTAGTCCGCACGAAATGGATGAATGTCAAGAAGGCTGTTTCAGAGGAGGCAGAAGTTGTGAAGCAGTTGGATGTGGAGAGAAGGTCATTTAAGGAAGCCCCTGCTGCACGCCGTGCTGCTTCCCCACCAATTAATACTAAATCATCATTTGTGTTCCAACCTTTGGATGAGTATCCAACCTCTTCTGGTGCTGGTGCTTCTATGGACGATCCTGATGTGTGGAGGCCACCAAGTCGAGACAATTCAACTAGGAGACCCGGAAGGCCTGGCCAAGCGGGGACGAGGAAATCACCTCAAGACGGAGCTTGGGCACGTGGTGGTTCAACTAGAACAGGACCAGCTGGTCGTGGTGGAAAGACTACAGCTTCAAGCAAGGTGAATACAGGTGTACGCGCATCAACGGCTGGAAAGAAGGGCACTGCAGCACCTGGAAAGTCTGGCAAGGCAGATTCAGCTGTGAGTTCGATTATCACATGGGAAACCTTCATATATTTCCGTCTATATTTGCCTTCTATTCTTTCTCGTATTTTCGTTCCTTGATAAAGTAACAGGATACTTAGTTTTGATCCTCTCATTACTTGTAGGTTTACGAGTGGTTTATTCAAGATGTTGAATGTTTGAGATGTTAGTTAAGTACAGTAGCAAGAACTTCCCACAATACCATTTACGTTGTCATTTGGATGCTTAATCTCGTATGGATTCCTTTTTGTCAATCTGGACCTACGACCATCTTGACCAAACATCTCTGTATGCACATTCTTTAGATTGAGGATGTTGAAGATGGAAAATCTAAGAAGGGCCAATACGAAGGGCCAGATGGCGACTTGGCTGCAATGCTCGAAAGGGATGTCTTAGAAACAACCCCTGGGGTGAGATGGGATGATGTTGCTGGACTTAGTGAAGCAAAAAGACTTCTGGAAGAAGCTGTGGTCCTTCCTTTATGGATGCCTGAATATTTCCAGGTATGTTTAAAATATTACGGCTAACTGGAGAATTTTTCATGAGTTTTATTTCAGCATTTCATTCTTGAAGTCTTATGAACTGCATTCTCTAAATCAACATCATTAAGCTTGCATAGAAGTTTCTTTAATAAAAGACCTAGGATCCTCCATGTTATTACTGCTATTCTAACTTTTCTTTGGACAGGGCATACGAAGACCATGGAAAGGTGTCCTTATGTTTGGACCTCCTGGTACTGGAAAGACTTTACTCGCCAAAGCTGTTGCTACTGAGTGTGGTACAACATTTTTTAATGTTTCATCTGCTACCTTGGCTTCTAAATGGCGTGGTGAGAGTGAGCGTATGGTTCGATGCTTGTTTGACCTTGCACGTGCATATGCACCAAGCACCATCTTTATTGATGAGATTGATTCTTTGTGCAATGCCAGAGGGTAAGAATTTTTCCCCCGGTTTTGAAATCTCTTAAGTTAATCACATGGGTGTCACTATGTGAGTTTGACTGCCTTTTGGATCAGTGGCTCATAATTCATTACGTGAGGCTCTGTGTATGGCGAAACAGTAAACCTTGACGAGAGTAATGACTCTAGTTAACTGAATTAACTTCTATTGTTCAGTGCTTCAGGGGAGCATGAGTCATCAAGAAGAGTAAAGTCTGAACTTCTCGTTCAAGTTGATGGTGTAAGCAATAGCGCCACAAATGAAGATGGAACCAAGAAACTAGTGATGGTCCTGGCAGCTACTAATTTTCCATGGGACATAGATGAAGCTTTGAGGTTTGGCATCTTTCCTTTTGTGTATAGTTTCTTTTCATGTCTGAGCTGTTTCTTGTTTCCTAATTTTGATATGTGCAATGTAGGAGGAGACTGGAAAAGAGAATTTATATTCCACTTCCAAACTTCGAAAGTCGCAAGGAGCTTATTAAGATAAATTTAAAAACTGTGGAGGTATGTCCTTTCAATTCATCTATTTTACTAATTGGTCTTGTTGGTTAGATTTTTTTGCATCATAAGCTCAATCTGTTGCTAGCAAAGTTAGCTGAAGCCTTGAACCCTGAAATAAGTTAAACCCTGATGAGAGATAATCATGATCTATACTGCAAAGATAAGTTGCCCGCTTGCATCCTAGGGTAACTTTTGTGACATCAACAGAGTTCCAACCGGAGAATTTCCGTTTCCATTCTCAAAAAGAATCTAGTCCTAGTTCTATCAGACAGTAGACATAGTTGGAACACAAGTAGATGTAATATTTTGAGTAGTGGTAGTCTGTTTGGCTTCTTGAATCTTAGGTCTTTACAAAGAACACACTTAAGCTCCCTAACAATTGACTCATGGGCTTTGAATAGGTTGAGTGCTCATTTTCCCCACCTATTCTGATGAATGCTAAGAAATAATAACAATTAGTTCCCATTGGCTGTTTCTGATTGTTGATGGAGCCTGCTAAATATTATCCTATGCAAGTTTCTGTTCATGGATGCTCTTATGTGTTGCAGTTCGCTACAATTCCCTCTCCCTTTTTTTCTTTTTGTTTCTTTTTCTTGGTCAGTGTTACGTTGTAGGCTTTTGTTGCAGCAGTTACCTCCAACTAACATTTCCATATCTTATTCTTAGGTGTCAGTGGATGTAGATATCGATGATGTGGCTCGGCGGACAGAGGGGTACAGTGGAGATGATCTTACAAATGTGTGCAGGGATGCATCTTTGAACGGGATGAGGCGCAAGATAGCAGGGAAGACACGAGACGAGATCAAGAACATGTCCAAGGACGAGATTTCCAATGATCCTGTAGCCATGTGTGATTTTGAGGAGGCAATTAAAAAGGTTCAACCTAGTGTTTCCCAAGCCGATATAGAAAGGCACGAGAAGTGGTTTGCTGAATTTGGATCGGCATAATGGAGGAGGTACAGTAACGGAGCTGGTTTAATTCCGATCGTATGTGTACCCTATCATCGTCCTCTCATTTGGTCTTCTGGTTTTCTTGGGCTGCTCTTCCTCGTTTATTGTAATTCTATTGTGTAATCTTTATTCGTCCTTGCGCTATTTCTCACTGTGTGAACTCGCTTCCCTGCAAATGTAATTGAGTTGCTTATGGGAACACGGTCTCTCAGCCGTGTGAACTTAGCGACCTGATGGAGTGAAGTACGATTTCAAGGTGGTAAGACACTGGTTTTGTTTCATAATATGTTTTACACACAACTCTTTGTACTTTTAGGTAGAAGTTGTGGAGTGTAGGCAAAATGCCACTTGGTTATCAAATCGCTGACTTTCGTGAAAAGTGATCAGATTTGGTCGAAATCTCATTGTTAAGACTAAGACCTATTGTTTTGGTCCTTTTGGATTGAGATTATGATTGATATTAGAGTTTTATTTAGTATTTGGAATTATGAGATTGATATATATTGAAATGTCGATAGAATATTGAATTTTTTATTATTATTTAGGAATGACAAAATAATTCATTATCCTCAATACCCAACTGAATATGAATTGATTTTTTAGGAAAAAATTCAGCCACTATTATTTTTGGATGAGTTTTTCCCGAGCCCCACAAAGAGAGTAATGAGTTTGGTGCAATTTTCCCAAACTGTATATTGCTTGGTTTCCGACACAACTTTTGATATGGTTTTACAATCTTTGGACTATGGTATTAACAAAACGACATTTAATTACCTTAATATATGCCAACCCAACCCAATACAAACTAACAAATAACTAATAGTGGAATTTTACAATACTTTAGTTTTTTGTCTTTATGGTACAACTTGAAGTTGTACCTTTTACGTTATGGTACAACTTCAGGTTGTACCTATACTCTCTTATATGAATCCCTTTGTGGTTCAAACTAAAGTTGCACATTTATGTTATAGTACAATTTAAAAATTGTACAATAACATAAAAGTATGAATTCTCTTATAATACAAGGTAACTTAAATTTACAATTTAATAGAAGTGCTCATAACCAATTAGGCATGCAAATAATTAGTAAGGCATGCAAAAAATAATTAAATCCCATATCAAATAATTAATAAGGCATGCAAGAATCATCAATTGTCATTACCAGGAAGTCATTCAATTCCATTCATCACATCACAGTATTGACTAATAATTATTGAAAAAGAGAAAAAAAATAATCTATTTACTATATAATACGAACAATGCGCTAAGCACTCAACATATAAATCTTACAGTATTCTTAAACAAACAAAGGAAGAGCAAGCAAAAAAATACCAATGGCGGTGTTCAAACATTTATCTTCTTCATTTCCAGTTTCACTGCTGATTTCCTTCTGTGCCGCCATAGCCCTTTCCACCGCAAGTTTCAGGGTCGAGCTGGCACCGCCGGAAATCATGGCGCTGTGTGAAAAATCCATCAACCACACCTTTTGTCTCAACTTCCTGAACTCGACTGCCGGGATACCGGCGGCGGATCTCCTCGGCGCCGGCAAAATCACGCTCAACGCCAGCCTTCACGAAGCCAAAGACACCCGAAACTACGTGAAAACACTGGTGGGGCAAACAACAATCGATCCGAAGCTGAAGCAGAGCTACGAGACGTGCCTGGACAACTACGACGTCGCCATTGGAGCCATTGCAGAAGCGAAAGCTTCGTTGCTCAGCGGAGATTACGAGACGGCGAATATCGAGATTTCGGCGGCGCAGACTGATTCGGATACGTGTAATGACGAGGTGAAAGGGGCGGCGGCCGAACTGGTTGAGAGGAATGACTACTTGTTTAATGTTCTCGATGTCGCTCTGGTGATAACTAATAAGTTGGCCGGTTGATGGGATTAATTGACCATTGTTGGTGCATGTTGAAGTGGAGGAATATCAAGTTATTTTCATTCAAGAAGTTTTCCCAAGTTTGATGAATTATCTGATAAGAAGTATTACGATGCTTTCCATGTACTAAGACAAAAACCCTCTCAAAGAGGATCTGACAGAGTTATGGATCAGCAAATCCAGAATGAAGAAGGATTGCAGAAGAGCAGATAGAAATGCAGTCGTTTAGAATAGCTTCTGTCTGTAAGAGGTGCTGCGACACCGTTTTCTTTATAGCTGAGATTAGCCGTTAAAACATTGTTTAGTGTTTAAAACTAGCCAGTGACAGAGAGACACTTGGCAACTATCTGTAATCCTGGTTTATGAGCTGATATAAAAAGAACAGAGCAGCACACTGCTGTCTCTGTGATTTCGGCGACATTCTCAACCCTAAACAAAGAAAATCGTCATGGTATCAGAGCGGCCGTTCTGAGGCCGTTTCCGCAACGCGATGTCCAGGCAATCCGAGGCTGAATCGACAGATGAAGCTCGGCGTGCCAGTGGCGTCTTCAACAACACAAATTCTCCATTTGGGACTGCTGTAGGTGACCAGAGCGGCAACAATGGAGTCATCGTCTTTGGTAACCCACTCTACCTTAACCCAAATGAGAATTTCACTCAACCCATCGTGTCTGAGTCGTTGGATGGGACTGAAGAAGGCATTGAAAATGAAGCACAAGTTATGCTTCATTGATGGATCTATGGCGATTCCAGCCAGAAACGATCCAAGCTATCTTCTGTGGGATAGTTGCAATATAGCTATAGTTACTTAGATTCTTAATACACTGCAGAAAGACATCAAGAGATCAGTTATGAGTCATGAGAATGTCAAAACCTTGTGGGATGAGCTTCATCGTAGGTTTGGTCAATTAAATGCAAATAGATTGACGAATCTAGAGGATGAGATTCATCGTTGCAAACAGGGTTCCATGGCTATCACTCAATACTACACTCTAATCAAGGGATTATGGGATGAATACTCAGAATATAGTCCTATTGTTGAGTGTAATTGTATTCAAGGAAACCCAATACCTTGCACTGCAGTGGTAGCATACAACCAGAAGCAGGAGACTGATTATCTGATCAGATTTTTTAGGGGTCTGAACCCAGAGTTTGAAGGGGTAAAGAAACAACTCCTGATGCTGAAGCCTCTACCCACAGTAGCTGATGCAGTGGATGATTTGCTGCAACATGAGCAAGAGTTGAAGGCTAACACATAAGGAAGTGGTAAAAGGTCACAGACTGTGGCACTTGCAGTACAATCTGAGGCTACCAAGGCAGCTGAGTCTACTGAAAGGAATCAGGGCAAGAAATACTGCAAGTTCTGCAAGAAGACCAACCATAACATTGAGGAATGCTGGACTTATAAAAGGAAGGTTAAAGAACAGGAACAGGCAGGTGGAGTACAACCTGGACTCCAGAAATTTGTTGGTTCAGTGTCACACAGCAACTCTAGTGGCAGTGAATCACCATCTGAAGGCAATTACCACAGTGAAGGCAGTATGGTAAGTCATCCTTGTTATAAACGCGCTGCTACAGATCGGGAAATCGCCGGAATCGACAAAGCAAGAATACGAAAGCGAGAATCGAAAACACGACACACGATTTACGTGGTTCACTAACACGATGTGTGTTAGCTACGTCCACGGGCGAGAGAGAGCCGATTTCACTATATCAGCGAGACCCCCGATTACCAGTCGTAGCGGCTGATAGTCCGATTCAAGTCATATCAACAAATCTCCACCTTGACTTGAATCCTCTTCCTCTGAAATCTCTGATGTACTCTGCTCCTTCTCTCTCTCCCGCCATCAATGCCCCGTAGGGCGGAGTCACCCACTCAAGACATTCAGCAAGTCCAAGCAGTGTTGGAACTTGCCATGTGGAACCGGCTTCGTGAACATATCAGCAGGATTATCCGCGGTGCCAACCTTCTTCACCTTAATCCTCTTCTCTGTCCTCAAGAAATGATACCTCACATCGATGTGCTTAGTCCTCTCATGGTGGACTTGATCCTTGGCCAAGCATATTGCACTCAAACTGTCGCAATACACCACTGCCTGATCATGATGTAGACCCAGATCACCAACCAGTCCCTTCAACCATATTCCCTCCTTAGCAGCTTCTGTCAACGCCATATACTCTGCCTCAGTAGTAGACAATGTCACCGCCGACTGCAGAGTTGCCTTCCAGCTCACTACAGAACTCCCAAGAGTGAATACATAACCGGTCATCGATCTCCTCGTGTCAACATCTCCAGCATAGTCTGAGTCAGAATACCCAGACACCAAGCACTCTGTATCACTTCCGAAGCTAATCCCCACATCAGGTGTACCCTTAAGGTACCGGAAGATCCTCTTCACAGCCTGCCAATGCTCCTTCCCAGGTTGTATCATAAACCTGCTGACAACACTAACAGCATGTGCAAGATCAGGTCTAGTGCATACCATAGCGTACATCAAGCTACCTACTGCACTAGCATATGGGACTCTCGACATGTACTCCTTCTCAGCCTCTGACTGTGGTGCATAAGCTGAGGATAGATGAACATTTGAAGCACTAGGAGTATTTAAGGGCTTTGCTGAAGACATGCCAAACCTCGACAATATCTTCTGGATGTAGCTTTTCTGTGACAAGAAAAGCTTCTTCGACTTGTCCCTGTAAATCTCCATACCCAAGATCTTCTGAGCAGCTCCCAAATCCTTCATCTCAAACTCAGCACTGAGAAGCCCCTTTAACTTCTGGATATCAGACTTTGACCTCGCAGCTATGAGCATATCATCCACATACAGAACTAGATATATCATCGAACCATCCTCTGCCTTGCTGTGATATACACAACAATCATATGGACTTCTGCTATAGCCCAGCTCAAGCATGTAACTGTCAAATCTCTTGTACCACTGCCTCGGAGATTGCTTAAGTCCATACAAGGACTTCTTCAGCTTACAAACATAGTCTTCTTTTCCCGGAACCTCGAATCCTTCTGGCTGAGTCATGTAAATTTCTTCCTCCAACTCTCCATGTAGGAAAGCTGTCTTCACGTCTAGCTGCTCGAGCTCCAAGTCATAATGTGCCACTATTGCTAGTAGCACTCTGATCGAAGTATGTCTGACCACTGGTGAGAAAATCTCATTGTAGTCAACTCCTTCCCTCTGCGAGAAGCCTCGTGCAACCACCCAAGCTTTAAATTTCATGCCCTCTTTAGAAGTGATTCCTTCCTTCTTCTTGTAGATCCACTTGTTTGTAACAATCTTCCTTCCCTGTGGTCGTTTGACTAGCTCCCAAGTCTGATTCCTGTCATGGGATTCCATCTCATCACCCATTGTGGCAAGACACTGATCAGCTTCACCACCCGAAACTGCTTCTCTATAGGACTGTGGCTCTCCTGCATCCACTTCCTCAGCAACCTGAAAATGAATACGCCACCATGTCCTCGAAGCCATACCTCTGTGGAGGTACTCCTGCAGTCGCTCTCTTCGGTCTACCGGAAGCAATAGACTGTTTAGCTCGTGCACTGGACTCTGAAGTTTCTGGCTCTACAGAGACATCCTCATCATGTTGATCTTCTCCACCTTGGTGCTCAAACTCACTCTCATTGAGAGTTTGCAGCTCCACCTGCTTATCAACATTCCTGCTACCAAAGCGGTTAAAATCGGGATTTTACCTAAAATCGAAAACTGGGGTAAAATCGGAATCGTAAAATCGAATCGTAGAATCGTAGGATTTTAAGTACCATATAGAAATTAACATATGATAATATTAATAAGGTAAATAATTAATAACAAAAAGACTTATAACATTTAAAGTGATAATTTTCAAGATTAATGTTCCAAAATCATCATTTTAATTGTTATTTAATGTGTAACTAAAAATAATTTACGAGGAAAGGATAGAGCTCATGGGGTTTGGCTCTTGCTTTTCATGTTGTGTCTAGGTAGTTTAACTCAAAGTAGTATTCCGACATCGTCTACTAAGCATGATTTAAAACTAAGAATAACTGAAATCCAATAAAATAATTAATGTCACTAGTTTGGTACAAATATATTCATTAATAATAATTTGTTAATAATGATGTTAATTCTTACGCACTAACAATATTCTGATAATTGTTTTACCGATGAGTTAAACAAGGAGAAGGGAAGGGGGTTGACCAAACCCTAATTAGTTTTTTTTCTTCTTTTCAAATGTTCTTTTAATAGGAAAAATATATGAGAAGATCCCCGTCATTGCCCTTTCCACCGAAACAATTCTGCTTCTTTTGAATTGGCTCAAGCTCCCTATTTTGTTCACATAGGATCAAAATCCCGATTTTGATACGATTTTAACGATTTTAATCCCGATTTTGAACGATTTTAAGGTCCATCGATTTTATAGTAAAATCAGGATCGGAATCCCTAAGTAAAATCCTAAAATCCTACGATTTTACGATCAAAATCCCGATTTTGACTGCATTGCCTGCTACCTTCAGCAACAGTAACCTTCAACATGGGGTTAAACATAGACTTCTCATCAAATATCACATTTCTACTAAGTATAACTCGATGCTCAGAAGGTGACCAGACTCGAAATCCCTTAACTCCATCTCCGTAACCCACAAATACACCCTTCTTTGCCCTTGGGTTTAGTTTATCCTCATCCACGTGATAATAAACAGGACACCCAAAAACTTTCAGTGAAGAGTAATCAGCAGGCTTACCATACCACACTTCATAAGGAGTCTTACACTCGATACCTGTGTGTGGTCCACGGTTGATCAGGAAGCACGCCATGTTTACTGCTTCTGCCCATAATCTTCTCTCTAGTCCAGCATTAGAAAGCATGCACCGTGCTCTCTCCAACAATGTCTGGTTCATCCTTTCTGCAACGCCATTCTGCTGGGGTGTATCTCTAACAGTCCGATGACGGGCAATCCCTTCATCCTTGCAGAATTCGTTGAACTCAGAACTGCAGAACTCCAGACCATT